GGTTGACTGCTAAGAGGAAGGGCTGTGGTATTAGAACCTGGCCTGTAGATGGAGCCAGGCTCTGCAGCCCAGTGGGGAGTGGGCTTAATCCGGAACAGGAGCTCTAAATAAGGATTAGTGTGGTCTGTCAAGCTGGTGGGGAAGCATGCTCATGTCAGATGCAGGAACTGAAAGTTTCAGTCCTCTTTCATGGTGGTGAAAAATGAAAACCTCAGATGCTGGCCTCTGATACCTCTTTGCAAGCATCATGATCGCCAGGCTTTTGCCAGCATTGCAGCTTATTTCTCTTCTTGTGTTGTAGCAGTCCTCCTTTGCCTGTTGTAACTAAGCCAGATAGTAATACTCTGGCCCACCAACTGGCATGTGATATACCTGGGTTTAAGCTTCAGCTCACTTCCCATCAACTGTAAAGGAGCGATGGTCTGAGCCAGGCCTCAGGTGGTTTCCTGTGAAAGAAAGTGGAAAGCTCGACCTCTAGTTATAGAGCTGTTCCATGGTACTGGTAGGAAGCTGTAGTTGGGCTGCCCAGCCTCATCACTGGTGAGGAGCTGAGGACAGCAGAGGAGCTTCCATGAAGAAGTGATGTGGTTTGTGTACCTTAGCCATCTGCTACCCATCTGGAAGTGCTCTGGCCACAGATTCTGGTTGGTACTGTCGCCAAATATAGTTTCTTGCCTGGGATGCTGAAGACAAGAAGGTACTGAGGTGATTGCACATCTGAAAGAGAAGTGAGGTGTTAGTCATACTCCTGTCTTTCTGGCAAACAACATTGTATTAGCTAGCCCAGACGGCATGATACTACTCTGTGTGCGTGCACGTGAGTGAGCATGCACGTGTGCTGAGTCAGCTGGAATATTGGCGAGTGCTGTGACAGGCCACTGGTTAACTGGTGTTAAGTCGGTCACAAGTGTTTTCCCTTGCAGTGCACAATGAAGCCCACTGATCTGCTAGTGCTCTTCTGTATTGTGAAAATCGTAAGTGGATGGCTGAAAAATTTCTATAGCGGTTGCTATTAAATGAGTCCATGGGGAAACCTGTACAGGCTTTGAATAATGTACATACCACAGCTTAGCTCCAAGCGGGGCATTAGACTGCTTCAGAACCCTGAATACAGAAAAGCAACTCCGAGGTAATTAACTTGTGCTATCTTTTGCTTGTAGCTGTTGGAATCTTTTGAAGCCAGCCAAAGCTTGGACTGCGCCTTTGGCAGTTACTCCAGAACTGCTCTACTGTAAGAGAAGCTCATGTGCTCCAGGCAAGCCAAAAGCTGTGGGTGGTGGGTGAGTATTGACCATTGCACCCTGAGCTAACGAATGGGCACCCCCATTCCGGTCACTCAGTTGGAGGGAGCGAGGAGAGTTGCTTTTTTTCCTCAAAGGTAGGTAAACAGCATTTCACTTGCCCAGAAAAGGGAGAAAAGACACTTCATGCACCACCACGTGCAGGTAAGGTTGTTACCCTTCCTGCAGTCTGCAAAATCTCAAAATGCTGCCTAGAGCTTCCTACTATCCCACTGATTTCCAAGTTTGTAAATATATCCCAAGATGATACCAAAAACTTAGAGCTGTGGCAGCCAATCTAAAATCAAGGGCAGTTTAACCTTCCGAGTAATCCTTTTGCATCAAATGTAGAGATCTGTAGCGTTCCGTTGTCACAACTTACTTTTGCTACATTCCACAAGTTTATAGCGTTTATTACAATACAGTAGTGAAATAATGTAGCAAGCCCCAATTACCGCAAGAGCAGATTATGGAATTGTTTCAGATTTCAATCCTCACTGTAATTAATTTAAAATTTAATACTGAACTTGACTGAGGATGCCAAAAGGTTATACCTCTCTACGTTCCAGGGGAAAAAAAAAAAGCTTAATTAGATAACCTTTCTTATTTTAATATTGATCCATTTAAATACTGTAAGTGTTTCCAGATAAATCTGTGCAGTCACTGTCAAAGCGACAGGAAGCGTAACCAGCACTCAGAAGGACAAACCCATAAAATCAGCTTTTAAGGATCAGTTTGAGGTTGCTGGGTTGATGCTTTTTGACCATACCTCCAGCCTCGGTGGTTTAATTGCTAATGGAAATAGGCACCGGGCTTCCTGCAGTATGATGCAGTGCATTAGAAGAGCCTGCTGTGGCGTGGGCCTAGTCAGTACTTCTGTTCATCCAGCTGCGCTGCAGAGGTGCCCTGCATGGAGTAAGGAAGAGCATGACAGCTTGCTGGAGAAGTCTTCCTAAAACTTCTAATGGAAAAAAAACCTCCAGAAACTCTGTTCATGCATGCACGCATCTTAAAAACCCAGCTTATTCATGACTTTTGGGAACTTGGTGAATAATACCCTTCTTGGTTTTGTTTCCTCAGAGGTAATGTGGAATAGAATGGGGAGAATGCCCTGTGCTATAAGGTGTAGCGAGGCCCAGGTGCTAACTTACTGTGCTGAAGGGAAATGTAAGCCTGAGTTTACGCCATCACTACCCTCTTTTTGGGAGTTGAGAGAGGTTTCTCTCTGTAAGCCAGGTGTAGACCAGTCTCAAGCAGCGAATTCCTGGGTTCCTACAGGACTATTTCTTAGTTTTTAGTTTATTCCATTGCACTTGTGAAACAGGAATAGCAATTCCTTTCTGGGCAAGGAGATGTCAGGATAAATCTGTGTCGGAGGTGAGCACGTGTGATGATGAGGCACATAAATGTATCCTGACAGTTACCTCTTAGGAAGAATAATCTGCTTTAAATGTTTCCGCTAAGACTTGTCTGTGTCACTTATACTTTCCTCTGCTAAGCCTGGTTCCTCTGTATGCTGCCTTCATCCTCACACCTGCAAGGAGCCTCATCTTCTCCCAGGTGCCATCAGCACAAGAATCGGCATGCCCTGTACAGGATGACCACCTACTAATAAGAAAAAAGGTAAAGCAGAACGAGTTAAACTGTGTTTTAGCATTTTCTTTTAATTGAACTGCTTGAGGTGAACACTAGGCTCACCAGGCCAAATGAGAACTAGACAAGAAGACACACGTCCCCTACTAGGCATCATCCCACTTCCTGTAGCGTCCCCTAGATGAGCTGGTGTGTTCTACCTCCTCCTCTCGCCCAGCTCTGACAAACTGTGTGGCGTGCCTGCAATGCATAGATACTAAGGGGTAATGCAGATGGGAAAAGTTGTCCTATTGAGTGACTAAACTGTAAAAATTTAATGTTCCTGTTTGAATTGGTGAGAATGCTTTTAAATTAATATTTTTCTATTTCTAAACAAAGGGGGGTGGGGGAATAAATAGACTTAAATAGAGAATAAATAAATAGACTGAAACTGAGATGCTGCAAGGAAAGCAGCCACCAGACTGCCATTTAAAGCACTTGAATACACGGGGCCTAGGGGAGATGTCCTGCCGGTCCTTGTGTGGTTGCTAGCCTGAGGAATAGCTGTTATGCAGCATTTGGTCATTAAATGCTCAAGGAGATACAGACCCAGGTGTCTTCTGGTGGTTTGACAGCAGAGGCGGTCAGAAATAAGGCTATTGGGTGTGAATCAAGAGCCAGGATGCCCTGGTGACCTGTAGGATTGTAGAAACCTCAATAAAAGTCTCAGCCAGCCCCCTGAGCTCTGCTGGAAATTCTGTGACAGCAGCAGGCGAGCGTGACTTGGGCAGCAGCTCTGCTAGGGCTCAAAAAGCTCCTCCACCCCCAGAACACAAGAACTCCTGCCAGTTTTGGTTACAGCTCACATGCAAAGAACACTGGACCACTGAACAATAATCCGCCCACCTTTGACACTGCATATGTAGGTTGTACTTACAGTAATTGAAAGAACGAACAGCAGTTTTTGTATTATGCAACTTGTTTCTCTGGAAGTAATTAAGATTCACAGCAATTTGGCTGGATATAAAACTATTTCACAAGTTTTTTTCATTACTTATGGTTTAATTTATTATAGCAAATACTGCTCTAGAAGTAACAATTCTCAAGGTTTTTCCATTTTCTCAGGAGTGACACCCAGGTTATTGAAGACTGAGCTGAGCCAAGAACACCACCGTCCACCTCCGTATTTGTGCCAAGAAAACCGGCTACAAGTGGTACAATGCTGCTCATTGCATTTTCTTCATGAAATCTGGTACCTGTATTCTTAGTGGGGCCAACATCTGTCAGGGTTGCACTCGCCATCTCAGCATTGATGTGCAACAAGAAGAAATACTGCTCAGGAACACAGTTAGGAGAGGAGTTTCTAGGTAGCCTAGAGAAGAACAGCCTCATCGGAGTTTTGCTGAGATGCTCAATAGTTGGTTTTGCTACATCATTCTCTGCTGCCAGAGTCATGAGAACTAAAAGAGACCCTGAGTCAAAGGCTTCAGTTCCAAAGCACAGCTGCTCCACAGTAGCTGATGCTCCTCGTCTCCCACCATAGAAGACACTTAAGCGTTACGACCGGTGGCTTGCAACCCTTGGTTTATTCTGGTATTTGGAAATCAGCATAATTTTGTATCAATGCCTGATAAATCTTCAGCAACTCTACTTGAAAGGTACACTTAAGCGTTACGACCGGTGGCTTGCAACCCTTAGTTTATTCTGGTATTTGGAAATCAGTGTAATTTTGTATCAATGCCTAGAACTGAAACGATAAATCTTCAGCAACTCTACTTGAAGGGTATGTAAAAATTTGAGGAAGTGTAGACAAGAGCTTTCATTTTGGGTTTTTATTATAAAAGTAAAATAAAAATAAGCATTTAAAAAGCACACTTTTTTTTTAAAGGAACAGATATAAAAAAAGACTATTTACAAATAGGAGAATGCCAGACTTGAAAAATTTTTTGAATAAGAGGCACCAAAGTTAAGTTTAAATACATTATTTGAAATATACAAGTTTGTTTTTTTATGATTCTCTTTTCTCTCTGAGTTGTTGTTGTTGTGATTAAAGTAATGATTTTTCTCCGCCAGCTATTTTATCAGCTTTTTTCATGCAACTGTGCTGCAAAAATTATGAAGAGAGCAGCTAGAAACTGTATCCTCTGATGGCTCCGTGCCTTACCTCTTTCTATTAAGTGAGTGAGTCAGTATTATGCAGTAACAAGGAGTGACTTTCATCTATAGGAAGAAAATCCTCGCAACCCAGAAAAGCTCAGTCAGTCATTCACAGTGTCCAGCCCTGTGCATTAGTGAGGCAGCGGAGCCCTGGTTACTGTATACGGCTTGTAAATGACTAAAATGAAATGTAGTTGAGGAAGGAAGCGATAGCCAGGAGTCGCACGCTGAAGTCGCTGTTGGTTCAGGTTCGCGTGTGGTTCCTCCAGCGCACTTTTGGTTGTGAATTCACTTCCCTCTGGTGGGGCTGACACCGATGTAATTTTAAATGTCACGTTTATTCCTGTAATTGCATATTGCTTAAGAGAATATTACTAGTTGGCTATATAACTGCTTTGCACTGAACTTTTATGTCCATAGCCCAGGGCCATTTTGCCAAGTGTTACTGATGACTTGGTGTTCAGAGAGTCTGAATAAGTAAAGCTGAGTTTGCGGAAGGAGGTCTCCACACCACTGTCACACATGCTTTCGTTGTCTTGAAATTTGCTATTATAAAGCTCGCCTGAGGGAGAGAGAAAAGGGAAATATATTATCGTTTGTGTTGATTCACTAATGTTGCTTTCAGAAACACCTAAGGAATGCAAACCCATCGGTTAAAGCTCTTCTACAGGAAAATGACTTTAGATATTGTAATAGGAAAAACTGTGCTGAGTGTTTTCAGTTGACCAAAGCATGTGACCTGATGCGCTGCTGGCAGTGACCAGCTGTAGTTGGAGCTTAGAGGGGACGAGAAGCTGGCTGCTCTGCTGACACTGATGCTGTCACCCCACCGGTCAGGACTCTGCCCAAGTGTGGTTGTACCAGGTTGTTCTCTGGTTCTCAGATTCCTAGACTCTGGGCAAGTACACAGCTCCAGGATAAGGCTCCTAAAACTTTCTCATGTTATTTCACTTACAGATTTATTTTTGAGACAAGTACTTGAACAATTTTCATCTACTAAGAGAGCCTGAAATACGAGGAAGGCAGCAGCAGGTGTCATCTGTGCAAGATCCACAAAAGGAGCACCCGACTGCAAGGGTACCGTGTCTGAGTTGAAGGTACGATGTGGGCTCAGTGGACTCGGACAGTGGTCAGCATACTGGAGTTCAGTATTATTCTTCTAAACAACTACCTTAAAATAAATGACGTGATGCGGTCCATTTATGTTGCAAAGCAGCAGAACCCCTCTTACCCTTCAAAATTAATCTGAAGAGGCAAGATGGGTACAAGCACATTTTTGGATAGGTGTCAGTCCATGACTGAACAATTTTCTACAGAGAGTAAATCATCAATGCTAGACCAGGATGGAGTTAGGGTGGTGCTGCTCTTTTCTTTCCAGAAATACCTACAGTATTTTCACACAGGGTGTGTGTTTCCACATTAGGGTGCTGGCAGCACTACTGGTGTTTTGAACAGAGCATCAAAAAACCCAAAAGGTTTTTGTTACTTAACGTGGCCAGGCAATGACTTAACATCCCTAATGACGTACTGCCTTCTCACAACCTTCCTCTTAGTACAGCCCCCTGCCCAAAACACCGCAGGACCTCCAAACCCCACTGGGAATGACAGGGGCAGCCTCATGTAACATTATACTGGCCCTGCCCCGAGGAGGCAGTTGGACAGCATTGGCTGCTGGAGGGCCCTGCAACCGAAGGCATCCCCCAGTTCTCTGCCTACAGAACGCTGGGCCGTGTGGGACTGCCGCACATTGCAGGAGGAGAAATTTAATACCAAACTCCTACTGAGAAGTTTATGAATCTGAAGCAGTTTTTGTTCATCCAGATACGGGGGGGAGGAGAGGAAAGTCAAAAAGTAATGGCACTTGTACAGGCCTGGAAGGTCATTCCCTAGTTTTATCTTTTGAAACTTATCCCCGTACTTCCAGGGAAAGTTACCATCAGTAAATGGCAGGTGTCTGGGTTTAGAAAAGGGAGCCAGTATAACCAATACTGTAATGCAGGGCTACCACTTCAAATGGTAACATTTTCCTCTCTCTTCTAGGCCTAGCAAATGTCTATGATGAGGAAGTCCTGCTGCAGTAAAATATTTCTGAAACAGGTAAGCATTGCGGGCATTGTGCACGAGAAACTACGCAAACTATCAGCAGTCCAAGGGGTGGGGAGGTGAGGTAGGGAGGAGAACTAAAAAAAAAGTTTTAAATAAAGCTCTTGATGCTTTGCTGTCCATTTTACCTGTCTCTCCATTTGTAAAGGTGGGTGGTGATGATGACAGAAGAGCTTTTGCTGTACTGTCCTCCTGGTGAGACAGGCTTTGTGAGCAGGATAGTGCTTTCTGAATAATTTCAACAGCTTCTGTGTGATCCATCTGTCTCAAAGCAGCGATCAGCTCTTGAACTGTACCACCAGAAACCTAAGAGAGAACAGACCAGATGCTCACCATCCCCCAGGCTGCTGTAACCCAAGGGCTGCACTGTCTCACCGTGTGGGAGGACAGCGTTCTCTGCGTGTCTCTGTGTTCTTTATAACTTGTTACAGCCACGTTACCTCGTAGTTATCCAGCAGAGTTTTCGACGGGGAAGGGCTCAGCCTGAAGGCGTTATTAAGTATGCCGAGACCCAGCTTTTGTGCTAAAGTGGACCAGCTTTTGTTTGGATCAGGCGCTTCCAAGAGTTTGTAAAGCTGCATCTTGGAACTTTCATTCAGTTCTCTCAAATGTCCTGGGGAACAGAGAAATATGTTACTTTTATTATTTATGCAAATAATGCACCAGTTTATTTCTAAGCAGAAACAAAGCTGAATTAAAGAGTATTTTAGTCTCCACTCAATCCCAGTGTTTACTCCTGTATTGCTGTAACACTGAAAATGTTCTCCTTTGCGTCCCTGTGAGCCACCTCTGAACAGAATCCTGGTCATTCTGGGAATGAGGGGGTGGGAGGGTACCCCTTCTCCCACCCCGTGTCAGTTAAAGCTGCTGCAGGGCACTGTCTTCCCCGAGTACACATTCAGCACTCAATTACCAGAAGGATATTGTCAAGTTTTCTTTATAGATGTTACCTGGTGTCAGTAAGTCCTTCGAAACCACTGCTGACTCATAGGGTTTGCCATTTAATATGTCATACACCTAAGAGAATACAATGAAGTCAATATTTAGCAGAAACCGGGTTAGTGTCCATTATCTTGACACATCTCAGTAGTATTGTGCAGTTCCAGCTGTAAATGGGCAATGTTTTCTGTCCCAGGGTCAGTATGACTAAAGATACTGTAAAAGGCCTGTGCAAAGCTTGAGGGAGAAATCTGGAGTTCAGCTCCCTTGCCCTTCAGCTGTGTCACCTGGTTTCAAGACACAGAGGAAGTCTTTACAGTAAATAAGCGGCAGTAGCGGGGGCTAAGTGAGGAGTTACTGCCTGTCTGCTACAACTCATTTAAACCAAAGCCGGGGTTAGATTTGCACCTCAGGCTAGTACTGCTCCCCAGCTCCATGCGACTGGAGATGCCGACTACTTGTACCTTACACCAACCAACTGCACATGTTCAGCCACTGAAGCGTGGAGCGTGCGGCCTAATCCCGGTTTGAGCCTGCAGTGCTGCAGAACATGCAGCAAAGAAACCCACTAGACAGCCTCTCTCTCTCTTAATAGGGGCCTGCAAACACACGCTGCCCAACCAGCTAAATGCTCTTCCATACTGAAGACTGTAGCGCAACTATTTCAGGAAGTGCCTGGTCATTCCTGTTCAGTACAAGTTGCCCGTTAAGTGGAGATTCCTTCCAATGCTATTTCATGGGGAATTTTTTTGTGGCTGAAGTAGTTTACTTTTTGATGGCAGATTAGTAGCTTCTCACCACTGAAATAATGGTGGATGCAGTGACAGGAGTTGGCTGAGAGCGCTGAACTATCATTTATTATTAAAAAATCCAGACCACATACCTCACAGTTGGCCGCCATATCCAGTGGTGTTGTGCCAGGCACAATTCCTTCATCGTCATCTTCATCATTTTTCACATCATCTAGATCAAACAATGGCTCAAAGTTCTCCATGTGAGGATTTGCACCTGGTAAACAAGCGTGCAAAAAAATGCCTAAGAAAAGGCTTCAAGTTGCTTTTCAACAATATTCATAATATATATTCCAAGTCCTGAATGGCAAAGCTGCTAATTTATCGACTCGAGCTTGATTACATTTTATATTAAAAGTCAGCAAATAAATAATAACTTACTTCTTCAACTAAAATTAAATGCTGTCACAGCCCTGCATAATGCTCCTCTCCATTATAAAGAAGGGAAGAGTGACAAGCAGAGGGTTAGGGCCTGAAGAAAGGGCTAGGATTATACAAACTGACTTCCAGTCCTGTTCCTGACTTACAGAGTGTAGCACATAGGGGATGAAGCAATGGTGTGGCACTGCTTTCTATAGCGTCAGAGAAACCGTGGGGATTATTAAAAGACCAAGCACACAGCAGAGCAGTGGGGGGGCTCAGCTTTCTGCTTCAAAGGGGAAAAAATCGGATATTAAGGGTCTAAATACAATTGAAGAAATGTTCCAATAAATATACAAAACAATGAGAGACAGTAACAAGCCTGTGTCTCAGTGACCTATTTTTTTGTTTTGTTTTGAAAGCAGTCCTACACTTATCCCAACGATGTAATGAGGTCTCCTCTCTGCTGCTTCAGCTCTAAAGAACCACAAAGGAAACACTCAAAAAATTTCCAAGAGGGCTCAAGAGTTTTTTTTCCTTGACCAACATAATTTGCTTTTTTTAGCCATTAGATGGTGCTAAAGAGCAGCACAGCACCTGAAAGCAGGCCCTTCCTAAGGAAAACCAAACCTTCCTGCTTTTAACAATCCCATTTCTTCCGCCCATTAACCGAGTTCGCTGGCGCATTCTTTTCTGCTTGCAGCCTGAATTGCCACTGTGAAGGAAAACTCCAGCAAATACCTGTTTTCGTACCTGCTGCTTTGAGAACTGCTGCCAATTTTGTAGAGCCCCTTCCAGCTGCTATGTGAAGAGGAGTTGTCCCATCGTACGTAGTGCTGTCCACATCTGCATCACCCTAAGTTTTTATTGAAGGACAAAAAGGAAAGCGCTACTCATCTGTACAGTACAGCTGCAGAGACTCATGTCGGCATAAACATCCCTACTGCGCAAATACGCACCGTTCCGCACCTGTTTGCATAAAAACTACTCATTGTCTGAAAAGAAGGAACTAGAAAGTAACTACAACTGCCTGCCTGCAGGAACAAGCAAACTACTCATTGTCTGAAAAGAAGGAACTAGAAACTACAACTGCCTGCCTGCAGGAACAAGTGGTGGTTGTGTGCTCCAGCGTTACAGCAGGGGGCACAGTGTACAAACCCAAACAGGGCAGGCAGGTCAAAGCCACTTTGCATTCCATGTAAGAGCTCTGCCATCTGATAACCTACGGCATTTGGAGTCCAAACGGGCACACGCACCAGCCCGCCTTCCTGCTGCATTTTGGGAGAGCAGGCGGGCCGGTGGCACATTCACACAAGATACCCGGGAGGGCTACCGCAGCCAGCTGTGGGCCTGTAGAATGGAGCACACTAGGCTCAAGGTGCTAAAGAGATGGGACAAATATTTACAGACATACACAACTTTCTCTCTATGGACATCCGTACGCATTCCACTTCGCAAAGATGAAGCCATTAACTTGTTCATGAGTCGTGCCGTTGGCTGCCGGGGACTGCTCAGTGCAGATTAAACGTGGTGGATGCGGTGAGGTCAGGGTCACAAACTGTAAATTCCTCAACTCGGGCAACAGGTTCACCAGCAGTGCTGAACACGTCATAATGAGTAACACTAGCAATAATTTTGCCATTACACCAATTTAAGTAATCAAGTCAATAAACAAGAAAAAACCCTTCTGTTCCTCCGAAGCACTTAAGGATTTTCAAGAGTTTTAAAATATGTAACTGAAAAGACCTGGAAGGAGGAAATTCTGCCCTTACCTCAAGCAACAGGCAGCCTGCCAACGGGATGTTCTCATGTTCAACGGCTAAATGCAATGCAGTTCGTCCAGATTTTTGTTCCTGAGCATTGACATTAACTCCAGCAGCAATCAGCTGTTTGAGGCAGGACATGCTATTCGCCATCACCACCATGTGAATTGCACTGAGACCTACACAAAACAAAACCCATCACGTGCATTAGTATTTGAAAAATATGGAAATGGCAGAGTAACGAGTTTCAAAGTGGCCGCATCTATGAGAATCATAACATCAATGAGAGTTACTGTAGCCATCTGAGCACAGGTGACTTATTTTGCCTGCCTATAGTCTAAAAGATGGTGTTAATAAAAATGTTCTTTGTACGTAAGTTGGAACTAGTTGTGTTATTGATGGCAAGTCAAAGTCATGCATTAAAAAAAAAAAAAAGTTAAAAAAAAAATAACCCAGCAAATTACAAGGTGGAAAAGGGGTCAGGAACTAAAGAGCTCACCTACAGCATCTCTTTGCCTCAAAGGAGAGTAGCCTCAAAAAAAAAAAAAATCTGCATCTTGATACTAAACAAACAGGTACCCTCTGGCCCCATCTGCTACTGAACATCTCTTCTGAAACATTCTGGGGAGTAATTGGTATTTTTAGTATCATCCTCCTGTAAGGTCACACTGCCCTACAACCGCAAGATTACCTGCACCATCTCAAAAAGAGAATAATAAAGCCTTGTATTCAAAAAACAAACGGACAACAACCCCAGACCAACCAACCAACCCACCGCCTCACTCTGAGGAACTTAACAGTTTTTTGATTCCTATAATGACATTATTAGGTCAGACATTTTGCAATCCACTTGAGCAGAGTACTAAATTCACATGACCTGTGCCACTGAAAATGGGAGAATTGTGTGTTTGCGGTTATTTTATAGGCTCTAATTCTGTACAGTCACAAAGTACCAGATACCAAACTTGACACTGGTCCAGAAGTTATTTCTGAGGGGATTTCATTCACTAGAGAGGAGGAAACATTTTATTCTGGGGGGACTTCTTTTAAAACCAGTGGTTGCATAAGGTACCTCAGGGGGAAGACAGTGCTTGAAGTTTTGTGAGATGAAAAAAATACAATAAAAAAATTCAAATCCATACAGCGTCACGTGGCCATTACCAATCTTTATGTTCTGTATAACCAGAAAACCTACATGTGTGCTCTGTCATCTGCGACTGCAGGCATGTAAAAGCCAAGGACAGCGTGTGCAAAGCAGGGAGACGCTATTTCTGAGGTCTGTATCTACCCGTGTAAGCCTTTGTGTGAATTGAGGCGTGCCTGCCTAGGAGGGCAGTGTAAAATACAGCCATTATCCTTCCATACCTTCCCCATTGGAAAGGTCCACCATTGCAGAGATCTTCTTATGCTTTAGGAGTAGCCTCAAAATCTTGTCGTCTCCTTCAGTAGCAGCTAAATGTAAGACAGAATTTCCATGGCGATCCAGAAGGCTGACATCTGCTCCAGCCTTCAGCAAGTCTTCTACCACCTCTGCCTGCTTTGTGATTATTGCCAGGTGCAGGGGGGTCTAGAAGTGAGAGAAGCAAGCCGTGAGAAGATAAGCAACAGCTACATCACTTCTACAGAGATCTCTCAAACCCATAAAAGCTCCTGCTGCGAGATGTTACTCCACTTCAAAGCTAACAGAAATGAGAAGCTTGCGTATGCGTACGTCTTTTCCTCCTGCATACTACAAACAGGGTTGCTACTTACCGGAAATGAAAGCTGCCTCGCAGCCAGTTGGAACA